CAGTTTCTTCTATAAGATCAGATATGACACGCCACCATATTTTGACCATTTACTTAAGAACTACTTGAGGCACAAACATGACATTTTGAGGCGATATTTTTGAGACTTAGAGGCAAAACATTCTAAAAATTCAAATCCATTGAACGGAAAATTGCAAAGTTACAAGATTTTTAAAAATAAACATTTTCTTCTATAAGACTAAATATGATACACCTCCATATTTTGACCATTTACTTAAGAACTACCTAAGGTGCAAATATGACATTTTGTAGGAATATTTTTGAGGCTTAGAGGCACAACATACTAAAAATTCAAAACAATTGAACAAAAAATGGCAAAGTTACAGAATTTTAAATAATTAACATTTTCTTCTATAAGACCAAATATGATACGACACCATATTGGACCATTTACTCAAGAACTACTTGAGGTACAAATACGACATTTCGAGGAAATATTTTGGAGGCTTAGAGGCATAACATACTAAAAATTCAAGACAATTGAACGAAAAATGGCAAAGTTACAGAATTTTAAATAATTAACATTTTCTTCTATAAGACCAAATATTACACGCCACCATATTTTGACCATTTACTCAAGAACTACTTGAGGTACAAATATGACATTTCGAGGAAATATTTTGGACGCTTAGAGGCAAAACATACTAAAAATTCAAGACAATTGAACAAAAAATGGCAAAGTTACAGAATTTTAAATAATTAACATTTTCTTCTATAAGACCAAATATGACACGCCACCATATTTTGACCATTTACTCAAGAACTACTTGAGGTACAAATATGACATTTCGAGGAAATATTTTGGAGGCTTAGAGGCAAAACATACTAAAAATTCAAAACAATTGAACAAAAAATGGCAAAGTTACAGAATTTTAAATAATTAACATTTCCTTCTATAAGACCAAATATTACACGCCACCCTGTTTTGACCATTTACTCAAGAACTACTTGAGGTACAAATATGACATTTCGAGGAAATATTTTGGACGCTTAGAGGCAAAACATACTAAAAATTCAAGACAATTGAACAAAAAATGGCAAAGTTACAGAATTTTAAATAATTAACATTTTCTTCTATAAGACCAAATATTACACGCCACCCTATTTTGACCATTTACTCAAGAACTACTTGAGGTACAAATATGACATTTCGAGGAAATATATTTGAGGCTTAGAGGCAAAACATACTAAAAATTCAAAACAATTGAACAAAAAATTGCAAAGTTACAGAATTTTGAAAAATTAACATTTTCTTCTATAAGACCAAATATGATACGCCACCATATTTTGACCATTTATTCCAGAACTACTTGAGTTACAAATATGACATTTCGAGGAAATATTTTGGAAGCTTAGAGGCAAAACATACTAAAAATTCCAAACAATTGAACAAAAAATGGCAAAGTTACAGAATTTTAAATAATTAACATTTCCTTCTATAAGACCAAATATTACACGCCACCCTATTTTGACGATTTACTCAAGAACTACTAGAGGTACAAATATGACATTTCGAGGAAATATTTTGGACGCTTAGAGGCACAACATACTAAAAATTCAAAACAATTGAACAAAAAATGGCAAAGTTACAGAATTTTAAATAATTAACATTTTCTTCTATAAGACCAAATATGATACGACACCATATTGGACCATTTACTCAAGAACTACTTGAGGTACAAATACGACATTTCGAGGAAATATTTTGGAGGCTTAGAGGCATAACATACTAAAAATTCAAGACAATTGAACAAAAAATGGCAAAGTTACAGAATTTTAAATAATTAACATTTTCTTCTATAAGACCAAATATTACACGCCACCCTATTTTGACCATTTACTCAAGAACTACTTGAGGTACAAACATAACATTTCGAGGAAATATTTTGGAGGCTTAGAGGCAAAACATACTAAAAATTCAAGACAATTGAACAAAAAATGGCAAAGTTACAGAATTTTAAATAATTAACATTTTCTTCTATAAGACCAAATATTACACGCCACCATATTTTGACCATTTACTCAAGAACTACTTGAGGTACAAATATGACATTTCGAGGAAATATTTTGGAGGCTTAGAGGCAAAACATACTAAAAATTCAAGACAATTGAACAAAAAATGGCAAAGTTACAGAATTTTAAATAATTAACATTTTCTTCTATAAGACCAAATATTACACGCCACCCTATTTTGACCATTTACTCAAGAACTACTTGAGGTACAAATATGACATTTCGAGAAAATATTTCGGAGGCTTAGAGGCAAAACATACTAAAAATTCAAAACAATTGAACAAAAAATGGCAAAGTTACAGAATTTTAAATAATTAACATTTTCTTCTATAAGACCAAATATTACACGCCACCCTATTTTGACCATTTACTCAAGAACTACTTGAGGTACAAATATGACATTTCGAGAAAATATTTCGGAGGCTTAGAGGCAAAACATACTAAAAATTCAAGACAGTTGAACAAAAAATTGCAAAGTTACAAGATTTTTGAAAATGAACATTTTCTTCTATAAGACCAAATATGACACGCCACCATATTTTGACCATTTACTCAAAAACTACTTGAGGTACAAATATGACATTTTGAGGCAATATTTTCGAGGCTTAGAGGCAAAACATACTGAAAAATGAAAACAATTGAACAAAAAATTGCAAAGTTACAGAATTTGTAAAAATTAACATTTTCTTCTATAAGACCAAATATGACACGTTACCATATTTTGACCATTTACTCAAGAACTACTTGAGGTACAAATATGACATTTCGAGGAAATATTTTGCAGGCTTAGAAGCAAAACATACTAAAAATTCAAGACAATTGAACAAAATATTGCAAAGTTATAAGATTTTTGAAAATGAACATTTTCTTCTATAAGACCAAATATGACACGCCAGTATATTTTGACCATTTACTCAAGAACTACTTGAGGTACAAATATGACATTTCGAGAAAATATTTTGCAGGCTTAGAAGCAAAACATACTAAAAATTCAAGACAATTGAACAAAAAATTGCAAAGTTGCAAGATTTTTGAAAATGAACATTTTCTTCTATAAGACCAAATATGACACGCCAGTATATTTTGACCATTTACTCAAGAACTACTTGAGGTACAAATATGACATTTCGAGAAAATATTTTTGAGGCTTAGAAGCAAAACATACTAGAAATTCAAATCAATTGAACATAATACCATTCCGATTTTATTATTAATGGTTTTCATATGTTAATTCAACATGAAATCCTTAAAACAAACAAGTTTCGTTAATCTTCAGCTTACCACGGTAAGAAACAAATAAGGCGAAGATTTTTCTTTAAAAGCTTTCACCGCAAGTTTTAAGACTTTGCCACGTTTGCAAGAAAAACATGCCTCTAACACCTCTAAAAGCTACAGTCTTAACACGTTCACGCAACTTTTTTCTAACTCCCCCGCTTAAATCCGCAAGTTTGCAAAGTTCCGTGTCGCATTTATATGAAGTTGAAATTTTCGCTACACAGGCATATTCAATTCTATGCGTGCCCAAGAAAGGAGATTCGAAAATCCTAAGAAATGGAAGTGGAGCAGAGTTTTATATATGAACAGATATAATAATAGTTGTTATCAGTAACAAATCATGATTAACCTTATTTCAAGGAAAAAGATTAGTTTCTCCCCTATCACGAAAGCTATACGTTTTACGATATTATAATTTAAGTTGCATGAATTCGAACAATAAGGCACGGTGACTAAGTATATCCTATTGTCTACCATAAAAATTTGGGGCAGCGGTAGGATTTCTACCTGGTAATATTTTTGATTTTCCACCAACCAATAATGTCCTCATCAGACAACTAAGGAAATGAACACAGTTGATTGATATATCAACGATTCAAATCAATTCTGGGGGTGACTACATCTCAATTTCCTGTCGTTCCCCCCTTTTTCAGAATTGACTTTAAATTTGACTTTATCGACCTCTAACAGACACATTAATTTTTATCAGGCCGGACATTTCACAATTATTTCGGGTCGACGACAGGCGAAATTTATTTAGAGGGATTTCGCACCAAAAAAGAGGCGACCCAACAAAAAAAGAGTCGTTTAATTGATTGGAGCGAAGGTGACAATGGAAATTGAGTTTATTCGAACTATAGAGTGATTGAGTCAAGGTTGATGATGGTGCTTAGGTTGAAAAATGAGATTTATGTTGTCCTAATCCTGATTATAGGTATCTCCATAATCAGGATTATTGGAGTACTTTTCTGGAAGAAGATTTCATTACTGGCTCATGATTTGCTAGAAGTATTTTCTAGTCCACACTGTATAAAAGCAAAAATATGAATTTCGCTATCCAGTCATTTCGGCCAAATTTAATTTAATATTAATCCGTATTATAGAGCCGAGCAGAAATGCTCTAATGAGGCACTCTATTCAACGAGTATATACCGGATTAATTTGATGGAATAAAATACTAATTAGCATTACATTATAATGACACAACAAAATGATACTTCTAAAAATACAATTTAACAATAAAGAACCCAAAGTAGCTCGTTTATCACATAAATGCCCTATATCAAGGGTGTACGTATATAGTAAATAACCCTCGATTTATTTTTCAGCCCCATATAAATAATGAGCCACATAAAAAACAAAGTATATAATCTATAAAAACTCATATGGACTCGATTTTCTTGCCTGTTTATCTCTTTTTTACACTTCGTTTATTTTGTTTTATGTATGGACAAGATTATTTCAAGTTAGTTTCTCAAAACTGCTCTCGAGGCACAAACAAAATTGAATTCCCATAAAATATCCGTTTTTAATGAAGGAAAATGAAAATTATCTTCCGAGTTTTCCTATGCCTTAATCTACCCCCCAGTGTAATGCCTCTAGTGATTATCAATTAATAACTTTAGGAATTTAATCGCGTGTGCAAAATATAGTGGAGTTAGTTTTAAATTTGATTTTTTAATTTTTTTGCAGTTTTGAGAGATGAATTCCGTTTGGAACCGCAAAGCGGCCGAGTGGCAGCCGGCGAAGACATTATCATGGAATGCGCACCGCCTAGAGGTACCCCGGAACCACAAGTCTTTTGGCGGAGAGATGGTCAGACTTTGGAACTTGGTGGTCGATTGAAATTGGTCGATGGGTTCAATTTAGCTATTACTGATTCCAAGGCTTCGGACGACGGTCGGTATCAATGTGTTGCTAAAAATACCGCTGGAATTAGGGAGAGCAGTGTGGCGATTTTGAAAGTTTATGGTGAGTATTTTGGTTTGGTTTGATTTCTCAATGGACTCAGGTAACTTTGGTAAAGATAGTGGACAATGTGGACACCTACTTTCTTCTCGAAGAACATTGTATTCTTCATCTGGATGTTCATTGAGCCTTTTCATTATCTCATCGAGCATAATTGGTTTCTAAGTTTCTTTTACATTTTCAATACAAAGTGGTTTTTCTACACTGATTTCTTCCCTCAGTAGAGGTCTGAGAATTCTGAAAATTTAAACTCAATTGGACTTATACGAAGGGTAAACCACCTTGGAATAATAGTATACAAGCATGTGGGATTCCAGTAGAATTCCAAATTCAGTAAGTTCAGAAACTCCTTATTTTTATAATAACAGAACGACTCATAAGAGAATTAAAAAGCTTCCAAAATCAATTTGTAGCTTCAAATAAACTTCTCCACAAAGAGGAAACTTCAATTCATAAATCTTGAAAGTTTCAAGTCACTGTGATCATTAGAAGTACATTGCACAAGTGAAATTTGACCATTTTGGAAGGAAAACCCCCCCTTATGCACGCAACCACCACCCAAATAATCTCATTAACAACAATTTCTTTTTTCCAGTGAAACCATTCATGATACGGCCTCCCGAAGACATCACAGCCCTTTCAGGCCAAACAGTCGAATTCCCTTGTACAGTAGGAGGCGACCCAGTACCCGACGTCCTCTGGCGAAGACAAGCACCTGGTGGTACCATGCCTCTAGGCAGAGTAAGCGTCCTAGAAGACCGCACCTTACGCCTCGAAAGTCTCATTCTGGCAGATCAAGGCCGCTACACTTGTGATGCTGACAATTTCGCCGGAGCCATTTCAGCTAGCGCCTTCCTGACAGTCCAAGCACCTCCTGCTTTTACTACAAGACCTCTGGCTCAAACTGTTGAGGTGGGCCAGCAAGTTTCCTTCCACTGTCACCTTACTGGGAGCCCGAAACCGTTGATTTTCTGGTCATTCGAAGGCGACAGAAGTCTAATTTATCCTGGCTCATCTGCTGGCAACTACGAGGCTTTTACTTCGCCAGAAGGCCAATCCACCTTGATACTTAAAAACGCCCAAATCCAAAACTCTGGAACTGTTATCATTTGCTCTGGGGTCAATGAAGCTGGCTCGATTTCTACTCGGACCCGTTTAACGGTGACCTCGAAAGAAGACAGGCCTCCTCCTGTAATTTTTAGAGGCCCCAGCAATCAAACCTTACCAATACATTCAATGGCTTATCTTATATGTGAGGCTCATGGCACTCCAAAACCTGTTATATCGTGGTACAAAGAAGGCGTCCCAGTTTCAGCTTCCAGCCGCATTAACATGACAAATCCTGGACAAGTTGAAATTTATGATTTAACTAAAGACGATTCTGGTGCCTATACGTGCGTAGCCTCTTCTAGAGGGGGCAAAGCCACCTGGACTGGCAATCTTTTAGTTGACAATCCTAAGAACCCAAATATAAACTTTTTCAAAGCACCTGAAGCTGTCATGGTACCAGGACCTCCTAGTAGGCCTCACGCTTTAAACCAATCCGAAGGCAGTGTAACGATAACTTGGGGACAAAACAACAAAATAGGCTCGTCTAGTTTACTCGGATATCAAGTAGAACTTTTTGGTAGAGAAGAAGGAGTTACACCTACTTGGACTATTGTGGCTAGACGAGTACCAGGCCCTACTTTCACTCAACATCTTTTGTCGCCAGGAGTTCCTTATACTTTTCTGGTTAGAGCTGAGAATTCGCACGGAGTAGGACCACCTTCACCACTATCAGAACCCATTATAGTGGGTCCTGATTTGGGCCAAAACTGGGGCAACCCTGAAGTGACTATTTTAAGTGAAGCCCGAGCCAATTTGGTGACTACGCCTAATATAGTACAACTTACTGATACTATTCCAATATCGTCTACAGCAATTAAGCTTGCCTGGGAAGTAACTGATTCAACTTTTGTAGAAGGATTGTACATATATTATGTGTCTATTGACAGTGCCGTGCCTAGTTATAGTATGCTAACAGTGCTACACACAGGTGGTTCTAGCAGTAGCAGTTTCACTGTGAATAATTTACAAAAATTTGCCAGATATCAGTTTTTTCTGATACCATTCTACAAGGCTATTGAAGGCCAACCGTCCAATTCGAAAACTGTCAGGACATTGGAAGATATTCCAAATGAACCACCTACAAATATGGAGGCTCTATTGCTCAATTCAACTGCAGTTAAGTTGAAATGGAAAGCTCCTCCGCCAAGTACGCTTAATGGAGAGCTGGACAGCTACAAACTAGAAGTGAAAACCAACGATTCCGTGCTTCCTAGTGTTATCAGTGTGGGATTGGCTCCTACTTATCTATTGGGGAATTTGTCTTCTGGAATTGTTTATTATGTTAAAGTGGCCGCCAGTACGAGGGCAGGGGTTGGGCCTTACAGTCCTGCTTCTACTTTGAGACTAGATCCTGCTTCGAGGATAATGGACAATAATATTCAAAGGTAAGTAGCTTTGTATTGTATCTAACTGTTATCTTCTAAGCATTGTACAATATAAGACTCACATGGCTGGCTTTGAGTTTTTGGTATTTTTTACATTTAATCATTAGGAAAAAGTCCTCAAAATTTCAACTTTCCACTCACTTTAGTTTTTGAGTGAAAAAAATTGTTTGTAAAGTCTTACTTCACAAAACATCATTATTTTCAAAAAATCGTAACTCCATTAATAATAACTCGATCGCGTTGAGTTTTTGGTATTTTTTACATTGAATCATTAGGAAAAAGTACTCAAAATTTCAACTTTCCACTCAATTTCGTTTTTGAGTGAAAAAATTGTTTGTAAAGTCTTACTTTACAAAACATCATTATTTTCAAAAAATTGTAACTCCATTATTAATAAATCAATCGCTTTGAGTTTTTAGAATTTTTCACATTGAATTATTAGGAAAAAGTCCTCAAAATTTCAACTTTCCACTCACTTTAGTTTTTGAGTGAAAAAATTGTTTGTAAAGTCTTACTTCACAAAACATCATTATTTCCAAAAACTCGTAACTCCAATAATAATAACTCAATCGCTTTGAGTTTTTAGTATTTTTTACATTGAATCATTAGGAAAAAGTCCTCAAAATTTCAACTTTCCACTCACTTTAGTTTTTGAGTGAAAAAATTGTTTGTAAAGTCTTACTTTACAAAACATCATTATTTTCAAAAAATCGTAACTTCATCAATAATAACTCGATCGCTTCGAGTTTTTAGTATTTTTTACATTGAATCATTAGAAAAAAGTCCTCAAAATTTCAACTTTTCACTCACTTTAGTTTTTGAGTGAAAAAATTGTTTGTAAAGTCTTACTTTACAAAACATCATTATTTTCAAAAAATCGTAACTCCATTATTAATAAGTCAATCGCTTTAAGTTTTTAGTATTTTTTACATTGAATCATTAGAAAAAAGTCCTCAAAATTTCAATCTTCCACTCACTTTAGTTTTTGAGTGAAAAAATTGTTTGTAAAGTCTTACTTTACAAAACATCATTATTTTCAAAAAACCGTAACTCCATTAATAATAACTCAATCGCTTTGAGTTTTTTGTATTTTTTATATTGAATCATTAGGAAAAAGTCCTCAAAATTTCAACTTTCCACTCACTTTAGTTTTTGAGTAAAAAAATTGTTTGTAAAGTCTTACTTTACAAAACATCATTATTTTCAAAAAATCGTAACTCCATTAATAATAACTCAATCGCTTCGAGTTTTTAGTATTTTTTACATATGATTTTCCCGTCATCCATTACCCCTCCCCCCCCACCCAGGTAATGATTTATGGACCGCCACTATCCTGAAATCCTTTTGTACAGAATCTCTAACATCTTTTTCTTCCAGTAATATCCCTATTCTAAATTTCCAAGCTTGATCATTTTGTTCATTCTTTTTTGTTTCAATTTTAGGACAGTTGGGCCAGACATGCAAAGCGACAACTTCGTAACCGAAACGTGGTTCATGGCCTTGCTCATAAGCATGATTTCAGTGATGGTGATTCTATTTGCGGCCATGTTTTTCGTCAGACGCAGACAACTTCTAGCCAAAAAAACCATGACGCCTTCTAGATCCAACGGTGCTGTGCTGAGTACTCCATTGGCCACCAAACAAGAAGCACCTTTGTGGTTTGACAAAGACATCCCAGATTATGCTACAACGTTTCCAGAGTATTCGAAATTAAACAAAGATTATACTCAAAGGAATGAGTATGGCAATGGTAGCTTAAACAATGGCAATATAAATTTACATACAAATCCTTTGCATTATAAAGAGCTGGCTAGTAGGCCAGACAAGTTAGAATATGGTTCAGAGAGTGGCTATGGAAGAAAATTCAATGAGTATAATTTGTTGCAAGTGCAAGAGTACGCAAGTCCTAATGTAGGCACTGACAGAGCCTCTCAGGCCGATTACGCAGAAGTTGATGCCACTTTAGGTGTTAAAAATGAAGGCAGTACCTCACCAGCCCCTTACGCAACTACAACTTTGGTAACTGGAAGTAGAAGGCTTTTATGGAACGCACCTTCATTAACCGACGATGAATCACCTTATCCAGCTTCAAATGGAGGCTACTACAATAGAAAAGTTTACTCGGATTCATACTTTGCTCCAGCGCACACTTTACGCCGTTCCAAGAACAAAAAAGACGGGAAAAACTCGCAAGAAACTAATCCTCCCGATTTGGTTTCGCCTAATTCCAGCTTGGGACAACCTGTTTACGCTAGAGTTGGGCCTCCAGCATTGTCCTGGCGCAACGGTTCACCTGGGTTGACTAGTTTCACGCCTACACCTACTAGACACGTGTATCACGGTTCTACAAGGAGCGAACCTGGGAATATGTTGTAGAAGTTTGGTTTTGTGCGGACTTTGAATTAGTTGTATATATTATTATGAAAAAAATATTGTGATATTTATTTGATACAAGTAATTGGCCATATTGATGTCAGCATGAAGTAGTTCTAAAGGCCTATATTATTTTAAATTGGTGTAAGGTTTTTTCTTCCTAAAAATCACTCTCCCCAGAGATTTATTAATGTGTAAGGTTTAATTAAAATTACCTAATTGAGCAATAATTACATGGGAACGTATACGTAATTGCTGTATAAATATTATAAATAAATGGTAGTTATAGGTGATTATGGTACAAAATGCTCTATGAAATATTAAGTTGAAACACTCTTTATAAAATGCACAAATATTTTTGTAGGTGTGAAAGTCTTTGGGGAATAAGAATCATATTATATGGTAAAAATTTCTGATAAGTTTTACCATGGAATCTCTTCCAATGTTCTGGCTGGTTTTCTATTTTTTGGGATTCAAGCATCAAGTACTTTGATCTCCATTTACACTTGAATATGATTTTTGCTTGTAAGTCCTTCAAAAGTTCATTATAGTATGCCCTTTTTATCTTTTACTATATTTACTCTCCTCTATATTTATGTATTGTATGAGAAAAAGCTGTGTTGTACCATAAATTCATTCGATAGTTTGTAACTATATAGATTTAGAAAAGACTGATATTTTAAATACAAAAATTTCTGTAAATATTCTTCACCAGTAGGTATATTCAGGCTGGAAACCCATCAGTTTTCTTCCTAATACACTAGTCAAAACAACTTTCTTCTATATCTTATAAAAGTGATATTTCTTGTAAAATATTTATTATTACATATCACTTTATATAATTATGTACATTTTTTATTATATATAATGACATTGTCCCTCCTTATAGTAACTAAGGCAATTGTGTAAAATATATTGGCAGAGGTTACATATAATGCACATGCAGGATTTTAAAGCCTCAGTCTTCCCTTAAGTAAGTACTGAATGATGGTTTAATTAATAATATAATTTTAGTATGTATAGGTAATTACCCCCGATGTTGTGCTCATATTTTTTATAATTATGTGCCATCTAAACTACTATGTTATACAATTATTGTATATGTACAGTATTTAACAATAAAAGTAAGATTTATAAATGATGTTTGTTTAGTTATTGATGCTCTAAGTATAAAAATACAAAAACCCCAATTCGTTACTTAAAACTATATTTAAATATGCAAATATTTGGACTGTAGCTACTGGCTGAATTGACTTTCAAGTCGTATCTAGTCTTCATTAAATCACAGGCTAGCGGTGGCTGAATATGCTGTTGAGCAAAATCATGTATCCCCATTACTTCGTCAGCATAATCTCGAATTTCTTTTCGTTCTTCTCCAGGTATTCCAAACATCAGCTCCCAAGGTAACCTGAGTTTCCTTCCAAAACCGATTCTAGCTGAACTTCCACCTGTTGACTCGTGAACAGCTACTTCGTGAGCCATTAAAAATAGAGGCAAATGTTTGTCGCAATCTCGGTGGTTCTTTGCCACTCAGGTATTCCTCTATGGTCTTATTGAATCTTTTTACCATGCCATCAGAATGTGGATGTAAAGGTGTTGTCCTTGTCTCACAAATTCTCATGATCTCACAAATTTTCTTAAAGATGGTAGATTCGAAATTTCGTCCCTGATTTGAATGTAACTCTAGTGGCACATTATGACGACTAAAAACTTCGTCCACTAACCCCTGAGCAATAGTGATGCCTTCTTGATTGGGAATACCGAAAACTTCTGGCCATTTACTCAAGTAATCCATGATAACCGAGAGGTATTTGTCACCACGCTCTGACTCAGGGAACGATCCGGCTACATCTATCGCTATTCTTTCTAATGGGAGACCAACGTTGTACTGTTTCATGAGCCTCCAAGATCTTAGTTTGGAGCCTTTACTGGTAGCACAGGTGTCGCATTTTCGGCACCAGTTTTTAACGTCTTCATGATAGTGGACCCAATAAAAACGTTCTCGAATTTTGTCCAAAGTCTTGTTGACTCCAAAATGTGCCCCTGAAGTTCCGTCATTCTCCACGGCCAGAGAATTCCACTGAGCTCACAATGCTTTGTAAATCAAACTGTTGTTCGACATTTCCCTCCATTCTGACCTACATTCATCATTTTCTTCAAGTAGTAGAATTTGCCCGATGCCTCTTGATCTTCTCTCATTTGTTTGGTAGTCCATTTATCATCGACGATAAAACCCGTTCTTCTCACAGCTGGACCAGTACTTTTCTCATGCATATCGATTCTTTGACAATGCTTGCAATCTTCTCTACATAACCCTCTAGACAGAGCGTCAGCATTTTTTTGCTGGTTTCCAGGCCGATGTTAAATTTGGAAATCGTATTGTTGCAATTTCTCAATCCATCTAGCAAGCTATCCTTCGGGAGTTTTCGTTTCTAAAAGCCATTTTAGAGCTGGGTGATCCGTTCGAATCAGAAACTTACGTCCGTAATCTGTAGAGTTACTTATGGAAATGGTCGACTGCATCTACTATGGCAAGCAACTCTTTTCTGTTGATCCAATAATTTCGTTCTGGCTTTGATAAGGTTCTGCTGTAGTACTGCTACGACATGCACTTGTGAATTTTGAATTTGTGAAAGTACTGCTCCAATACTGGTGCTGCTTGCATTTGTGATCAAAATCAACAGCCTTTATGACCAAGATAGGATAACACCCAGGGGTAAACCACTCATGGAAATCATTGTACACTTTGCTGGGAATACTTTGAGAATACCTAGGAATACTTGGTAATATTCTAGGAATATTTAGGAATACTTCGAATTCTTTGGAATACTCTGGAAGTATACGGGAATACTCTGGAAGTACATGGGAATAATTTGGAAATACATGGAAGTACTTGTACATTTTTAAAACTTCCAACCCCACTTTCAATGTATTTTTGGGAACTTTCATTAAAATCTCAAAAATTTCGTTCTGGTTTGTTCCCGTTCAGTGTTCCACTTTGTTCTGGTTGAGTGTTCCAATTTTTTTTTGCCATTTGTTCCAGTTACCCTAATTATGAGACAACTGCAACAGTGACCCCTATTTTCCTATGCATTCACATAGTAATAATTCTGAGGCGACTGGAACATATTGTAATATATATGTAGAGATTCTACCTCATTTTATTATTTTTGCTCGAGAATTATGGGAGATGCAACAAAAAAGTTATACTTAGTGGTGAGATAATAGTTCTGTTCCAACCGTTCCAGAAGCAGTAATTTCCAGTTCCCCACCCATTTTGCAATAAGTTGAACGTTTAACCTACTTGACAAATGAATTGATCAACTGGAAATTACCGTTCCAGAACGGTTCTCATGTCGGTTGAAACAGAGCTAATAATGTTAAAAGAAAAGGTAAAATGAACCAAAAATAAAATAAGAAACCTATTTTCTTTGTAAGTAATCCATGTACCCATTTCTGCATGGTGTTCAGTACAGTTGACAGTTCTTTTTCTACTTCATTCATATATTCCTTCACCACCTACCGACAATATACCTTTCCCTCTTGTTCCAAATACAGAGTCTTATATAGAAAACAGTGGTATCGTATATTGTTGTAGCCTTTTGGACAACTTCAATTGGTTTTTTCTGGGCCAACTTCGCGTATCTTGCATATTTGCTCTACTTAGAAAAAACGAGAATATGTACAATATACAATGTTAATTTCAGGTGGAACATAATATGTTCCAGTTGGCCACATCCATTTTTACCGGGGCAACTGGAACCCAAGCTGTGTTTCCATTACATGAAATTCTAAGCTAAGAACCTACCTGAGAACAAACTTAGCTTCACAAAATTTTTCTCGAGATCTCTCTCTTACAGTTAAACATGCTCAATGCAATATTACTCACTATAATCACTAATTATTGATTAAAATCCAAACTTCTGTTACTTGTTATTATGATACACTTTGTAAAAGTAACAGATTTCAATTTTATTTCAGAAACTAACCAGCGTCGTTCTTTCTACTACTTGCAAGATATAAATAAGACACACTTGTAACAAATTTTTATGCGTGGAAAATTCAAATTACAAACATTACAAAGCAGTTAGGTAACTCGCTGTTCAAGTTAATCAAGTTGACCATACTTGGAAATACCTGGGAATACGTAGGAGAAAACTTGGAAATACTGTCCAAATTTGAGAAGTATTCCCAGAAACTGGAAATCACTTTACATTTTTTCGTGAGTGGTTAACTCACGGACAACACTGGGCTTTTACATAATGCTCCTTCCAATTTTCTAAAAACGGAATCGCATTCTTGGGTCCAATTGAATGTTGATTTTTATTCCGTTAATCGATGGAGCGGAGCAACTATATTAGCGAATCCTTCTACAAATCTTCGATAATAAGAACATAATCCTAGAAAACTCCTTATAGTTTATGTTTGTCACGTAGTTTTGGCCAATCCCTCACAGCATCCATTTTTCCTTTCATAACTTGTATGCCATCTTCAGAAACCACGTGACCTTAGAATTCCACTTTCTTTTGAAATAGAAAACACTTATTTGGATTGAGTTTTGAGCGCTCAAAAACTTCTTTTAGGATATTGAGGTGTTCTTGGAACAAATTTCCTATGATCATGACATCATCTAAATATACCAAGTAAGTTCTCCATGTAAGGCTTTGCAAAACTAGATGCATCAAAAAGTAGCTGGGACATTAGAGAATCCGAAAGGCATCACAATTATTAGACTATATACCTATAGACAATACTGTACATCAACAAGCGCTTAGAATTACTTATCAATGAGTGCAGCCAATGATTTTTTGTGTAAGAAGAACGCTGCAGTTGGCAGGGGTGTGCACTGAGAAAATAGGCGGTAGGTACAAAGTTCTCTGCTAAAAATTTTTCCGCTGTTATAACTAAAATTTTAGCAAAACTAGTAAAGTGACTTTCTTCTCTCAGTAATTTTATTTTGGCTACTGAACACTTTAATGCCCCAGTAAAGTGCTTTGCGGCTATTGACGAATGATTTTCTGTTACTGCAAAAAATCTTTTAAGAGGTAAGAAACTTTCCTATGATGTCTGAGGGTGGAAAGAAGTTTTTACAATTTTTGCTCTTCTCATCATAGTAGAAATATTTACTATTATAGTTGTTAATAATTGGCAACAGCCTGTTTGGCTATTTTCGGAATCATTACTAATCATCAGAAGGGACGTTCGGCCCATGATTCGATTGTAATTTGTAGCCCAAAGCAAAGAGCGAAGGAAGAAACAGGATGCCAGTCCAGTAGTTCCAAATTATACGCGCAGAATTGATGATGCTAGTGTGTGTTGTGTAGGTATTTATGTAGGTATGTTCTTTGACGTTAAACGGTAGCCGTGTGGTTGCCTATACTTGTCTTGTATAAGAAGTTGGAAAAGGACATTACATAAATACGCTGGATCTATTTTACTACGCAGAGCAATGTGGGTGTTTAGGTATAATGTGCATCAATTTTGGAGCAAAACAAACAGGTACCTTGTCCTGTCTCTGCCTCACTGGAGTATTTTAGGTACATGTCTAAGATTACGTTAAGCCAGTTTATTGTATATATATTTATTAGTTTACTGAAGCCAGTTTTCTCTTTGTCATCTTTATGTATTGACACTTATTGTCAGTATACACTCTTAAGATCCACGTTAGAAAACCATTTGGAGCCCGATAGAGTTGTTAATGTATCATCTATTCTCGGAAGAGGAAAGCTGTCCTTCTTGGTGACGTCATTAAACTTACTAGTCCATGCACACTAAATCTAGAATAAGCTATCCAATTCTGTACACCGTGGCGAAAGCGCTACATTTCTGACAATATCTTTATAACAAAGTTTTATCTCTATTAATAATAGAATTAAAGTGTGCCCTGTGGCAGCTACAATTAGCCCCTTTTTGGGTGATTTTTCAGTTCAAGATTATGTAAAATTGTTCCTGTTGTAGTTTTAGCAGCAGCAAATAGAAAAGACAGCACTAAATGTTAATTAATTCGAATACGAAACAGTACAACAGTACGATGAACACTTTTACGCACTTTTCCCGATTTAATTTAAAAGAAAATCCACTTAAAATTGCAATAAAAACGGCCGAGGAGTAAAATTTTCGGAACCACGACCGACTCCATTA